AAAGCAGAAAAAGAGAAATGAATCATCCTGAAAAACGTGAAAATAAAAAAAAAAAAACTTCAATTTGATTTTTTTTTCCTATAAAATTTTTATTTTGCAGAAATCGCAAAAATTCTTATTATTTTCTACATTTCTTATTTTTCTCTCAAATTTACAATTTTTCATCTTTTCAAATTTTTTTGTGTGTCTAATTTCATGTCATTTCGTTTAGTACCAGTCAACTACTTCTTTTTTAAATTGTTTATCGTCATTGATTTTTTGTTGTTTTATATTTTCAGGGATTTTTTTTTATCATCATTTTGAGTTGCTAGAAAATTTACAATAATTTTTCATTTTGATTAATTACAATTTGATATAAAAAGATGGAGGATATTTAGGAAATTGAGGCTTTAGGATGTTCTGTTTGATTGATGTTAGATTTATGTCTTTATAATTTGAATTAAGATGACTAACTTGATTTTTGTTCAATTGTTTAATGCTGTAGTTCTGAAATTCCAGAAATTTTAAGATTTTATAGTAAAGTCAAGACTCTCATCCATCGCTATTGAAAGCTAGTGTGATTTTGATCATAGTTAAAGAGTTACTAGTCAAATATCCAAAAAATTCAAAGATTTCTAATAACAAACTCATCCAGAAGATACAAAAGTCTCAAAATTCCACTTTATTCAAGTAGCCTGACTTTATACTCTTTATATAATTTTTATTTGATGATCTTCAAATTGATATTTCAATTCTCTTTCCAATACACTTTCCTATTAAAAATAAATTTAAGCAGATGCAGTTGAAGCATTATGATGAAGATAAACTTTTCATTATGATAAGTCTGAAAGATAATCTTTGATTGATAATCTAGAAACTACTTTCTGAGTAAACGGCAGTTCTTTGAATATCAAATTAATTTTTTATGGAAGAAAAAATAGATTTTTATCTTGATTGGCATTCGAAGGAAAACGGATGCGATGAAATTCAGATTTTGTCAACCTTGAGCTAGTCTTGTGGAACTATTCTCTGACTTTTGTTCAATGTTGGTCATTCTGAAGGTTAATGAAGATTCTAGAACCGTGAAAAGTCTGTAGATCACTACTCAGATCAATAAAGCACTTCCAGAAAGGCCATTTAACACATAAAGTCATTGAACAGCCACAAAAGTCAATGAAAGAACTTCGAAATTTCATATTCAACAGCAAAATTTTTCGTAACAACTTAAATATTGCTCCACAAACTCAATAAATTCATAATCAAGTAAATGAACCATAAATCTATGTCACTAGATCAATAACAAAACGGTTTCATGACATTTAATAGCAGCAATAATCGTAATACAAAATATGAATGCTCCATTGAAACTTTAATAAAAAGTATGAGCAACTCTTTTTCAATAGCAAAGTAAACTCATCAAAAAACAACAACAAGATGGAGAAAGGAAGACTAAGAAGAAGGTCGAAAGTCATAAAAGTATAAATTCGTATAAAAAAAGTCAAATAAACTTTTTTTATGAACTGTTTAACTCAAAACAATCAAAAAATGAGCGACAGAAATGAGATCATAAAAAGCTAAGAACTTTTCCCTCTTTCCAATTTATTTGTGCTTCCTTCCTAAGATGAGGAAGCTACAGGAAATAAAATAAAAAATCTCAATGATTCATTAAAGATGATGAAGAACTTTTTTACTGCAAATTAGAAGAAAATTTTCATTAAAATTTTACTCAAGTTGAAATAAAAATTAATTTGGTTCTCATCATTTGTCTCAGAGAGTTGAGGACTTATCCTTAAAGAAATAAAATGCCAGCTTTTGATTGCTGTTTGGGTTATTTTGGCACAACAATAAAATTAAATTGAATGGTGAAATTTCGAGGCTTGTTAGGCATTAAATTATATATTCTTGGAAAAAGTTTCTAGGTTCGGATGAATTTTATTGGCGAAATTTTTATAATTTGAGGTTATTTGGATGTCTGCTATGAGTCATAATGCTTGTCGTAATATTTTTATATGCTGTTCTTAATTTGTAGCTTTTAATCTTTCTTAACAACTTTTAATGGACATTTTGATGCTCAGTTTGATGTGAGAACATGCTGTTATTCGGGAAATAGGTCTGACATAGAGTTTATAGATGATTAGTCATCAGAATATGGAGTTTTTTGGGAGATAAGGTTGTTTATTAGAGTTTAAATTGCTGGTTTTAAGTGCTTTATAGATAAACCGAACTCAGAATAATTACAAAAGATTTAAAAATGAGGGAAATCCAGTGTTCTTGACTCAGATAACTAAACTAGCTAAATTGATGGATTATGTATAGATTTTGGGATGTTTCAACAACAACAAGAGCTGACAAAACGATATTCAGGAAAATGAACAAAATTTAAAATTTTTGTAGGTTAAAATAATCAAATGTTAAGCTAGAATAAGCTAGAATCAGTGTTATACTCTAATACCAAAATTCTCATACCATTTCGTGTTCCTGAATCCATTTTTAAGTTCAATTCATACAACAAATACCTAATTTTTCTTCCATAATAATAAATTTGATGATGATCAACTTTTCGATTATTTGTTACAGATTTTCATTTATTTTTCATTTCATTCACAATTTTTTTTTGTTATGCTTATAGTTTTTACTGTATGTACAAAAGAAGCATCTCATAATAATGTATTTTTATTTTTTATTTTATGTATATAATCAGATTATTCATTTTCATATTGTAATGTAATTCTCAAATATATAATATTTTTCGTATGTCTTATGCACTGTACTATGAGTTGATGTTTTTTTTGTGTAAATATAGCTTAGATGATGGGAAAGAGATATGTATCGAATTATGTTTGCATAGCAATTTTCATGTTTTTTTATTTTTTAAAAAAAATTCTTCCTATACATGCTTTTTATGCTAGTTTTGCTTGGAGCTTCTATTGAAAGTTTTATATACAATTTTTATTTTATCTCAGGATATTCAACTTGCACTCGACAACTCGACAATGTTCATCTATGCTCAGCACAAAAAAAAAGATGAGTTTTGAAGTTTTTAATGAAGTTCTGGTAAACGCGGTTTTAGTTTGGAATTTTTCTGGATCTATTGTTGAAAAGTTCATTGACTTTTGAGTAGAGTTTTCAATCCCGGGATTGAAAATCCTCCTTTTGAGATAGGAAACTATTCATCAATGATGTCAATGATGAAAAAGTAATAACCAGGCAATGCAGAAAGCTTAAAATAGCTATGTAGCTATTAAAGTTGCAGTCAGACAACAAAAACAGTCATATTTGAATGCATTTACATCTTTGGGTGATGAATTAGATTTTTAAACTACATTTCTTGATGGACATCATTTATAAGCAATCCACAACCAAGCCATAGATCTTCCACACCAGTATATTATAATTACTGAACTAAAACTTTAATTTCCCCCCAAAAAAATCCTTCAAAAATTTTCGAGAAAACCGCGCTCATAGTAAATTTTATATTCCTAAAAAAATTTCTGCAGCAAGAAGCATTTAAACTATTATTATCATGGGAAATAAATTTATTGCATGATGAAGGCAGAAAAAAATTGAAAATTTTCTTCATCTTCTGCCTGCAATTTGACGATTGAAAATTAATATCCAATGTGCAATTGCAAGGCAAGCATGGATGGGAATTTTATTTTTCAATCGAATGCAAAAAATATAAAAAATTATCAATTTTAGTTCCAATTTCTTCTTCATGTTTTTCAGATGAGATGAACAATTCAATTGGGAAATTCTTTTTCAGTGCTGAACGATGATGAAAATTAAAGAATTTTTTTTATGCAGTCGAGCAAGAGATGATGATGCTACGAGGTGGGTTTATTTGAGATTGAATAATTTCTATATTTTTTAATAATATTTTATATATGTATTGATTTATCACAGCCTTTTAGGAGAATAAATTTACAAGTGGAATGGTTTGAATTTTTTTTTTAATTTTTCAATTTATTTTATTTGTCGGAGAGGCACGACAGGGGAGTTTGAGCATTTGAATGATGATTTTGAGTGATATTAATCGGAATATGATTTTTTGGACAACTCTAGTCCCGATCCAAAAAGCACACTCCTTCATTTACTTCAGAACTCTCCTAGATTCCTTCACAATCATCGACATCCTCTTTCAAATCCTCAACTCACTTACAGATTTCAGTTGAAAAATGTCATAAACTCTAATGCTGATTTAATATTTCCATTTCTCTGTCTCTGCCTCTATCCCATCTCCTCATTCAATTTGACATGAACACATAAATGCTTTTAATTTTTTTTTGCTTTCTTCTCACTTGAGAATGCAATCAATTCCTGATATTCATTTCTTCTTTTTCTAGTCGATATATGTCAGCTTATCAATAACATAAATTTAGCTTTTCGACTTTTCAAACTAAATTGAGAACATTGGAAATATTGTTATGATGTTGATATGGATGAGAGGTTTGTGTGGAGGCAATGATGCTGAGAGATGAAGGGGGTTTGAGATGGAAGTGGAATTGGTCTTGGTTTAATGCTTTTAGGGCAATATACAGTCATAGAATTCTCAAGTTTTGATAATTTTGATAAATTTTGAAGTTTTTACAATGACTATGCATTGGTCAGTAAGATGTCATTGCAGCACCTGCCATCAATAAAACAAGCCGCAACTTTAAACTTGACTTGACCATGCAGAACTCGAAATCAAAGTTCAATTAAGGTTCAAGATCTAGAAGCATTAGTAATTCAATTTAATAGCTCAAGATAACACCAACAATTGCATGGCCTGACCATGCAGAACTCGAAATCAAAGTTCAATTAAGGTTCAAGACCTAGAAGCATTAGAAACTCAACTTAATAGCTCAAGATAACACCAACAAAGTCCATGAATCATTTGATATCCCCCTTAAACTCTCAATCACCAGACAATCAGACTAGAATTCATATTTATGTTCATATCCATACATTCATCTCATCCCGTTTGACTTTATGGATATGTCGTAGAGAGATTAAAATTGCCATGATCAAATGCAATGACATTACACTTTATCACTTTTTCCAAAGCTGCTTAAATAGCTACTACCATTGCCGTTGTGCAAATTGCTTTTCGTCATCATTGGTGAGTCTGTGATACTGTTGGTATTATTGTTATTACAATTGCCACCATTCAGTTGATTTAGTGACGATTGAAGATGTCGAGGCGACGGATGATATGACAATGGTGGTAAATGACTAGGACTATTGTTATTACTTGTAGTTGTTGATGATGTCATGGCACTTGTCGATGGAATCGATGTCCAACTACCATCGAATTTTGATTTCATAAATAATGGCTGCTCGGAAGATGCATCGATGCCATTTAGATAAGGAGATGATGACAATTTATTGCTTTTATTTGTATTTGAATTAATACTGCTTCCATTCACAAGACGATTACGTCTCATTGTATTGAGCAATGGCGTTTGTGGAACGCTCTTGGTTCCATTTTTCGATTGCATCATTGGCGATGCATGCGACGATTGTGACATTGATGCTGGATTATTTAAATTATTCATTAATTGTTCCATTTTATTTTCAATTATATTCATTTTCAATTGATTATTTGATGGCGGCATTTGTTGATGATTTGCAGCCGCTGCTGCCATAAAATTATTGTAATGTACACTATTTGGTGCTGAATAGGAATTTGGATTTTTTGGAAATTGACGACCGACAAGTGTTGTGGTTGCATATGCTCCGAATGAATCGTATGTTGGTGATGCGGAACTTTTATATGATGAACATCCAGCCACTTCAGCATAATCAGGCATATTGGGACTTAATCTAGTAGAGGGAGGAGAAGAGAGAATTGAAATAATTAGTTTTGGTCAGTTATATTGGTTGTGCATGCTATGCAAATGTGTTTTGTGGTTGATGGTTTTATATTTTGGGGATTATACAGAGTTGAGTAGCAAGGCAAAGTTCGATTTTGTTGTAGGAACTGAGGCATTTTTCCAGATTGCAACACTAAGTCCTTGTATATCAGGGGAGGCCTTGGGATCTTTCCTCCAAATTAGATTCTAGGGACGGAGGCTCAGTTTATACTTAGTGGACCACCCCTTGCTCATATGCCAACCAACGGACCCTCAGCTAGCCAAAATTCAAATCCCTCGTTAATAAATTTTTAATCCCATCACAAATTTTCAACTCCCCCTGACATCACAATTATCTCCTCTTAATTTTAATGCCGCACGCATTCAAGCGAACGAGTTAATCGATTTTTAATAATCTATTGTGATACTCAACAACAAAATAATATGCAAGCATAATTAATATTTGATTATTCATCCAAAGCGATTTTTTGTTTAAATTGCAGAATTTTTGAAATGTTCACACTGATGGGAGATAAAAAGGTCCCCCCTCAACGGAATAATCTCTTCTCGTTCACTTTAAATTTAATTATCATACATTCATCTCGTAATTGATGCTGAAAGACGAGAAGAGCATACACAAAAAAAAATGCTATGAAATCAACATGCTGCGCGCATTCTCTTATGCCCTCTCCTAAATCTAATTAAATTTCGATACAAATAGACATCAGAGCATAATCATAATTTATGAGGGGAGGATTTTCATATCATAGAGGCATTAAAAAGGGGCCAGTGTAGCGTAGCATCAAAAACATAAAAAAAAAACAGTTTCGACCAGAATATTTTGTACTTCTATAAATTTTCTCAGCATCGGAGGCAGACGACAGTAAATTTAGATGAATAAATGCTCAACAAGGCGTCGACACTCAAAAATATGCTGGGATTATTCGGGATTATTGGGATTATTGGGATTATTTGGGATTATTGGGATTATTGGGATTATTTGGGATTATTTGGGATTATTGGGATTATTGGAAAAAAAATTATTCAAATATTTTGAATTTTTTGAGGAAATGAACTGTAAGAAATATGGTATTTGAAGCCAGAGTGACTTGTAAAGTTTAAACAATGTGAAAATATATCATTTTGAAGTGTTTGTTGAGTATTAAAATATAAATTTGATCATATATAATAATTTTCAGAGGTCGAAGCCGACTTGAGTTCGCTCCGGTTCGGCTAAAAACCGATTGATTTTTGTATGGAATTTTTTCTGATTTCACTTGTGAAGTATAACTTTTCATACAAAATTCAATCGGTTTTTAGCCGAACCGAAGCGAACTCAAGTCGGCTTCGACCTCTGATAATTTTTATAGAATTTTGACTGATTCATTTAAACAATCGGTTTTTGGAAATGGATTAGACATTTCCTCAGCGTTTTTAGTTGCAGTTACTAGTGTCCTAAGTAATGTCCATATTAAAACATCAGTCTAAGGAAAGTTTTTGGCTTTATTCCTAGTTTTTTGGGGTTTAATGAGCTACTGTACTAAGTATTTCAGACAATAACCTCACTTTGAGGAATCTTAAGGTTATTGTGGTAGATTGCTCGTCTAAAGTATGTTATAAATTATTATATAATTTTTTGTTAAAGTTTTGTATTTATTAAAATGTCCATTATTTTCCCCAACAAATTCTACAAAATGTACCATGTTTTCGATATTATATACATACTTCTATTTGCTGTATTATTTAAGTTACTGGGATATTTTCATGAATGATTTAAAAAAGTTAAAATTTCGATTTTAAGCATGTGAAAAAATATTTAAACTTTCGTTTTGTTCTTTCTCTTCCCGAGAAATATATTTTTGAACATAATTTTCTCAATTTTTTCAATTAATTTCGTTGAGTTGTTTTATTTTTAAGATCATTTTTAAAAAAATCAATAGTGTTGTATGACTAAGTAAATTTTGGGTTTTTTAACCTTCACAGTTAAAAAAATTCAATATAGAATTTTCCTAAGTCATGTCCTTTTTCAAAATGGTGGCTGGTTTTTTTTACCTTAGATCTGAATAATAACAATGATCTAATTTATCCACTAAAATAAGTCCTGCTGATCTAGATTCAGTTCAACTCAATGATGTTACCAAATCTTATTACGTTAATACGAGTATGATATCCCGTAATCAATTACGGGCAGACTTTAGTACTTTCTGTTAAGTATAGTTTTGTTTTTGGATCTTTTAATTTTATAAAGTTAGTAGACAGACAATTATGCTTTCTCAAAATTCCGGTGCAGAAAATTTTCGGAATCGGGATCGAGATTGAAATTTTTTGGTCAGCGTTTACTGATACAACTACGATTAAAAATCTGTAAAAGTTTAAGTACGATTCATTGAGTGTAACAAAAGATATAGTCAAAAATGTAAAAATTTTAAAATAAGCTCGCCCCTTTTTTGGTGTGAAAATCCAACGTTATATAACATTAGAAATGGTATTAAGAAAATTTTAAATTATAAAGTTTTGTAGTTTTTGATTATTCTATAACGCTGAAGTACTAGATCTCAAAAACTTTTTTTTTAAAAAAAGTTCCTAATATTTTCCCCATATAAACTTGTAATCAGGATTTTCAATTTCGATCTCGATGGCCCGATCCCATAATGTTGACAATAAATTGAAGATTTAACAAAGTTAGATTTGGTATTCACTGGATCTTATTATTTCTTAATGCATCGTTTTAAGTGTTTATTGCAGAGATAGAAGCCGATTTTTTCGGCTTAACTCAATTTTTGATTTTTTTTATAGAAAAATCGGTTAACTTGAAATTCTGAGCTTACTATTGCTACATTCTGACAAAAAAAAGCATGTAAAATTCAATTTAAATAATTGAAATGGGCGCTAAATGGCTTTTTTCTATCAAAAAAGTCGAAAAAATTGAGTTAAACAGAAAAATCCGGCTTCGATCTCTGGTTTATCGCCATAAAAGCCAAAAAGTCAAAAATTTAACCATAGCTGTCATTATCACCGAGGACGCTACTAGCTTTACTAGATTTGTCGAATCAAAAACCTAGTTTGAAGAATTTTTTTGAGGAAATATGTATTGTTTGATTGATTTTCGGGCTAATACACGATTATTTTGATTAGAACGCATAGTAAATCAATAAAATATAAATTTAAAAGACATTTTAAATTGATTTTTGTAAATTTTTGACTAGTGCACTAGATTTAGTTGGTAAAAAAATCACTTTTTGACGTTTTAAGGCTAGTTCATTACTTTAGCTAATTTTTAAATTAATATACTGAACTCAAAATGTATCCAAAGATTTTTGGGGACATTATTCTTTTCAATACTAGTCAAAATTTTAACATTTAATAAATTTTAAATTTGAAAAATTTTAAAATTATTTTAATAATCCCAATAATCCCAAACCTGGGATTATTGGGATTATTGGGATTATTTGGGATTATTGGGATTATTGGGATTATTTGGGATTATTTGGGATTATTGGGATTAATCCCAGTGTCCACGCCTTGATGCTCAAGTTAAAAATGCATGTTGGGGATAAGGCGCATTTTTTGTGATTAAGTTATTGGCATTTTTATTGGGCAATAAAATTTTGAATTTTTGATTTAGAGTCACTAGTATTGTTCATGCATAGCTTCATAGTAGTTTTGTTAAACTATTGGTATGCATTTTGTTGAAAACAGTTAAGAGATTAAATGACTCGTTGGTCCAGTCCTTAATTGGTTTAACAGATATTTTTTGATTCATCCTAAGTTCGAGTCTTTTTACCAAGACGTGTTCTTTTTCTAATCAAAAAAACTTTAAAAAGACTTAAAAGCTAAGCCTGTGCCTTATTTTATCTTAGTGAGTGTGATGTTAATAAAAATTATTCATTAAGGAACCAGGTCTGGTTTCTGGGACTTCATAAGAGCTCTCTTCTTGAACCAAAGATTGCTAAAGGACAAATTAGAATGTTAATACAAATTTGCTTTGACTGAGGCTAGTCCTACTTCTTGGTCTGCGTCAACCTACTCCTAAGCACATTCAACTGACACTAAACGACAAATGGCCTCTTAAAATCCAACCCCAAAAAGTAAATTTCTAAAAAATTTACTTCGCTTCCTTAATCCCCATAATATAGAATATACGCAAATAATTTATGGTCCATGCATGGTTGTCATGTGAGCAGCAATAAAAAAAAACGAGAGCTAGGAATTTCACATCTACAAACCTTTCATAATCAGGAAGAGGAAGCTGTGGTGGTGCATTTGTAGGAATATTTCCTTCGCCATTCATTCCATTAGCAGGAATACTTTGAACATCCGTTGCTTGTCGCCACACGCCACCAGTTGGATCGATCCATACGCCATTTGCATTTAGTGGTAATGTCGGAAACTTTCGCACCGTTCCAATCGCGTGATTTCCTGTAATCATTGTAAAAAAAATATTCTATTATCGCATTTGAAAAGAAAATGAGAGTAAAAAATTATTTTTTCTTCTTTTGTGTCCCAACTTGATTCTTATTGTACTTCCTTTTGTACAATGAGCAATTTCAAGCTGTGTTGAAACTTTGTTTTTGTATTTTTGTTCATTTGTTATTGAGAGTGTCTAGTCACGAGATACATGTGAGTTTACTGTGTAATGTTACGTAGGGCCATGCTAGGGTCATGTTGTTCAGAGAATATGATGAATTATGAGAGTCAGGGGATTTATTAAGGATCAAAAATTACTTCGAATTCAACCCTCAACCCTCGTGATCCCCTATCCATTCCAACTCCCCAGCACCCCATCTTTTAATGAAATTCCTCAACTCAACATAGACATGACGTTTTTATATTAAATCTCTCTCACTTGGCACTGCCATAAAGCACTTTGTGCTTTATAATTCCCATTCAAATATACATAACAACAAAATATCAAGCAAATCCAGTCAGCATTGCCGCTGCGATTTTTAATTTGTTTCCACGACAGCAAAAAGCATTTCTTTCTATATTTTTTTTTAATTCCGCATATTCATATAAAAACAATGGAAATAAGTATCATGGAGAGCATAAAGTGTAGAAAAATACAAGACACTTGAGATATCACAAACAATACAATGGCTGCGCCAAGTCTTTATCTGTTATGCATATGCAGGATATAAAAAGAATTGCGAAGGATAAATTGCCAAGTGCTTTGCTATTTTTATTGTGCCAATTTTTTTATTATTGTCTCTCGTTTTTTTAGTGTATAAATATGTTTTAGTATGTGATGGGTACTTAGGGGTAGCTGGCGCGAGATTTAATGATAAGTTGCCAAATTCTTTAAAACATCGGATGTGCTTAGCTTTAAGAAAACTATGAAATTCGCAAAATTATGGGGGGGGGGGGGGGGGGTCATTAAAAGTATGAAATTTAACACAGCATGTAGCTTGACATAAGCTAATTTTATAAAAAAAAATCTACAAAAAATCATGAACTAAGCCAAATGTGAGGGTCCAAGGGGGTTCAGAACCTTCTCAAGATTCAAAATGTAAAGAAAAAATCCATTAAAGTTTTGCACCCACTCTCGAATAGTTTCTAGATAAAAAAGTGATATTCAATCAACCAGAAACCTATATAATCACAACAACACCCATCAAATCCAATTACTATGCACATTCGCTCTATAACTTCATTAAATAAAATCATAAATTATTCATCACAATTCCAGAGATAATCAATCTGTTTATGAATATGCTAGTTTATATTTATTTGCAGCATATGCGACTTGAAAAGCTTATAAAAAAGGTAATAAACTTATGATGTGATGTTAATTAGTGAAATGTTATTGCCAATATGACACAAATTTCTCGTGAATATTCAGGCATGAAGACGAAAATAAAAGTGGAACTTGATTAAGACTTGTTTTTATGGCTTCATTATTATTATTATTATTTATGGATCTGATTATAGGTTTTTTTTTTGAAGAGTTGGGCATGACACTAGACATAATCTTCAATTTTTCGTTAATTTTTGAAAGTTTCAAATTTTAACGGTTATTTAAAGTTTGAAATTTGTCAAGAAAGTTGAGAGAAAAATTCAAAAATATTTCTAACGATTTTTATATAAATTCCCACCCCTATTCACAAAAGAAATCAACAAATCACGTAAATTATAGAGTAAAATAAAAATAATAAAATTCCTTACCATGCACGCTCGTTAACGAATTGTGCTTAATGTACTGTATTTTCCTGAACAAAACTGTAGCGCCAAACAGGAAAACAATAATAGCTATAATTGAGCCCAACAGTATAATAAACCAGGTCTGCGTGATGATATCATCGGAATAATCGCGACTGATTGGATATCTTGTTAAGGAAGAAAGAAAAAAAAAGTCACAAATTAAAATGAAATTAAATTTAATGCACACCAATATTTACCTGACATAGCCCTGATCCAGTTTATTTGTGCTCGGATCAAGTCGTAAAATTGATGGCGAACTATATGGCCCGTAGCCAATTTTTGTTGATGCTGAAACACTCACGGAATACGTAACGCCAGCTGTTAAGTTTGTCAACATCAATTTCGGTGAATTTCCATCCACAGTCATGTTGGTGAGGACTTTTGAGATGTTATTTGCATCATATCCTCTTATTATGACATGATAGTTCCTCAAAATACCATTAAGATTCTCAATCGGTGGCTGTTGCCATTTCAGATAAACAGCTGTTGTATTGAGTAAAACTGCTTCCATATTTGTCGGTGCTGCACTTGGCACTATAGCATATGAATGAATAGGAAGAAATTTCTTGGTGTTATTACCATAATCATAATAATTATCATCATACTGCACATCCTTACCATCCTCAAGTGTTGCAGTCTGTATCAAATTTGATGGCTTCCCCTCAATGCTCTTATAAAACGGTATCAGGAAGAAGTCATACACTGTATTACGTTCTAATTGTGTTATTGTGCATGCTGAAGCACCGCCGCCATGAATTGCAGTTAACATTCTATAGACTCCGTTTGAATTAACTTTTATTGAGTAAATGTAGAAGCCTTCAACATACTGTCCATTTACAATCTGTATTAGCATTATGGTTATGAGCGTTTGAAGATGAGGAAGTGAATATAAGGAAAAGTTTAGTGATTAAATTAATATTTTTGGTATTTATTGCGCATTTTTAAGATGGAAGGAGAGAGTTGGTTGCTGCCTAATGGCTGGATTTTTAAAGCCACAGTAAAGTAGAGATAAAGACGCTTACTAATGATGAAGCATGGATAAGAAAAGTGACTTAGGAGTAGATCCAGCGATAAACCTTCCCACAAACCAACATTTAAAGTAGATCTGATCCCAACTCTCAAACTAATCTCCCTTCAATTCTTAATATTAGGAGCCATTACTGTCCTGGAGACTTTAAGCACTTTTAGGCAGGGATGTCCAACTTTTGTGATGCGGCACACTCATGAAGAACAAAATATTCAGAGAATTCTAAACCTATGCGGTTTTTGGACAAGAAAGGGTCCCATTACTCAAAAAAGGTTGTGCACAACTGATTTGAGCACTTAAATCCAAATCTAAGAGGATTAAGATATTACCAAGATTAAATACACAACTAGCCGACATCTGAATAGAAATTAAGCTCCATATACTCAGAATCATGACAAATTCATGAATCAATGTCCTTACAAAAAAGGATACATGACATTCTGTCCAAGAAGACAGGAGGTCATATCCATGCATAGTCAACAGCCCACTCAAAATTTTATTACATTTCATCCTCATTCTTCCATCTCATTTTTAAAGAAAAGAAAAAAAAATATAAAAATAATTTTATAGCTTCATACTCCAATACTTACATCCCACACAAGACGAACACTTGTAGAATCTGTTGCATTTGCTTCCAACAAGTTGACCACTTTGCCAGTCGACAATATAGCCTGTGCCTCACTCAAACTGATATCGTCGACAATATTAAAATCCTTTCCGACAGATATTGCCTCCGACATTGGTGATGGAAGTCCGAGACCGAATGAATTTTCAGCTCTCACAATATAAATGTATGTCAAGTCCTTTTGTACATTCACATGTGTAAATGATAAGCTCTCGACACGCTGTGCAATTGTTATCCATCCTTTTGTGTTGTCATTGGGAAATACTTCAACTGTGTATCCAATTATATCTGATGCACCGGACTTAACGCACGGTAGCCATGACAATGTTATTGAATTGTTTGTGACATTTGTAAATTCAGGCTTGCCAGGGGCACTTGGAAATGCTGGCGATTCTGGTGCGCGATAAAATTTAATGTTGGGATTTGTTGGATAATCCAATTTGAGGTAGCCACTCCACGTTGATTTGCCGCTACGACTACTTGCGACACATGTGTAAAGTCCCTGATCGACATTCTTGTCGAGGTCAATAATGATTAAATTTCCTGTGTCTGATATGTTAATTCTATCGGAATTTACAACTGGATTACCATCAAGGTACCATGAGATGACTGGTGTCGGATGTCCTGATGCTTTACACATTAAATTGACCATTGATTTTACTGGAAGTGTTTGATTAACTGGACCGAGTATTATTATTGGTGGAGGCTTATCCTCTTGTGATGATATTGTAAGTCTAGCACGAACACTTACAGATCCAACTGCATTTACAGCACTACATACTACAACAATTCCATTATCACTCTTTGCTGTGGATGGAAGTGTCAAAATTGATGAGCTTTCAGGCGTTATTGATGTCTCAAAACGATCAAAATTATTTGGTGGAAAAATTAACGACCGATTTCCTTCAATTGACCAAAAAATTAAAGGCTGCGGCTGACCAGATGCTTTACATTCAAAAGTAACGTCAAGTGGTGCCTCTACAACTTTTGGTGATGGACGTATTACTAACATTGGTGTTGAATAAACATTAAGAATTCCTGTGGCTGTTATAGCACCAACAACATTATCAGCCTCACAACTGTATTCACCTTCATCCTCAATTATCACATTGTCGACTCGAAGGCTTCGATCTTCGAGAATGTGAACTCTATCGAGTGGCATATTACCACCAGATGCTGAACGACGCCACAAGACATCGGGTATGGGATCACCACCCACTCTACATTGAAATGTTACAGATGATCCTTCAACTACGCTCTGATTGCTTGGTCCACGTATGAGAAATGGCTTGACTGTATGAGAATATAAATTTTTATGATTTGTTTGACATTTATTGAGGGTCTGAAGGACTTTTGAGAGGATATGGATGTGAAAAACGGAAGGAGCTTGAGAGGTTGTTCATTTATAATGTTTAATGGATGTTGAAGCTGTATGAAACTCTTTCTAAAATCAATATTAGACATCATATACGAACAGACCATAACAGAAGCTCATAAAGCAATTTCCACATCCGCAAGACCTTTCCCATAACACAACCACTGACATATTACTTATTACTTACCATTAACTTTGAGAAATGCGGCATACGACTCACGAATTCCGGCTACATTTCTTGCGACACATTGATATGAACCTTCGTCAGACTGCCTTACGTCTTGAATTGCTAAATTAGCTCCATCAACGATTCGGATCCTAAATCAACGAAATATTGAAGAAAAAAAATAGAAGATGAAAAATGAGTGTGGTGAGGGAAGCAATTTCGAGTATATTGGCAATGTCATAGCACTAAATGTATTTTATGGGATTTATGTCAAGTTATTGAGAATGAAATTATTGGGTTTTTGAGACATATGATAGATAAAAGTTGTCCAAAAGTTGAGATATGGCTTAGGTTTCCAAAGGTTCGAATCCTATTAATTAAAACTATTTTGAATTAATCCAAAATCAAATTCTTTTTAACTTTTTTTGATCCCCTCCACAACAATTTTCCATATCCAGCACTAATCAACATTAACATAATGTGACAGCTCCAACAACATTATCGCATGTTTATTTACCAGAAATCAATTAAATGTGTGAATATGTGCCAAAAATAATTAAGGCAACGTAAGCACAACAACATCCCATATATTCATGAGGATGCCCATAAAAATCAAATAATTACGGTAATTAAATACGGAACAAGGAGAAGAAGAAGTAAGAGTGAGAGCAGCCATGAAAGAGAGCATAAATATTTTGTATAGACATGAAAGCATGAAAAATATGTTTACGAGCAATTCGAGTGTGCTAATTACGTTAATTAATTATCTTCACATCGCCAATTTACTTGTTTTGTTCAGGCTATCCATGTGAAGATTGTTGGGTTGATTTTTGGAATTTTTTGAATAGAATTTTGGGGTATAGGGCTCTTCTGGGCCTAGTTTTTAATGTTAACCTAGCAACATACTCTAGTATTGGCATAGGCTTATAAAAAGACTAGTTTAGCCACAATAAGCAATATGGTTTGGGTATTGAACTCAAAAAACCGACCCCAGCAGATACGATACAACCAAATAAAACCCAAAATTTCCACAAAACTCCTCACAAGGGGTCCACAACAGTTCATCAACAACTCACCTTTTCGAAGAGTCTGTGTCAATTTTCTGTCCATTTTTCTTCCACATTATTGACGGCTCGGGACTTCCTTTTGGTGGACCGCACTCAAGGATTGCCGTTTCACCTTGTGCTACTCGAGTATTTTGTGGCTCCAGTCGGAATTCGTCTCTCAAGACTGCAAATAAAAAGAAAAAGGAACGCAATTAATTTTGATTTTTTTTTATTCTCATTCTTTTAATTCTTTCACTGCTTTATGAGTTTAATGATGATTTAATTATAAGTCATTTATAAATGGATGAAGATGATGAGGAGGGTGGATGATGATGAATGATGTGAATGGAAAGTTGGGATGATGAATGCTTTCCTTCTCGTTTTAAGAGTTGCTCATTCAGCTATATATTTTTTTTTTGTTAAACGAAATATGATTTTATGGTTGAAAAGGTTTAATGCAATTCATTTTAAGGGATAGGATAAGATAACAGTTAAGGACACATTTTAGGAACAATTATTTGAATTTTTAAAAACCGTTAAAATTTGTTTTTTTTTTAAACGGTAAAATTTGATTTATTTTAAACCATTTAATTTTTAAAATTTCCAAATCCGATAAAAATTAATTTTAAAAATCGTAAATTCCAGCCAAGCTGCATCAAACTCCCCAACAAATCCACAATTATATTCAACGAAAATTCAACCAATAAAATAAAATGAAGGTAAAAGCGAAGATGTAGCAAGCAACCCATCTTCCCATCATCATCATTATCATCATTAAGATGCTTAGCAACTAAAATCCGCTTTTAAGGTTGTTGCGTTTCATTCTTTCATATGCGGATATAAAATAAATGAGATTTTCCTCTTATTTCATTGTTCACTTTGTTATGCTTTTGATTCAGGTGAACATAACATATAGTACAAGGATGTTGCTAAGTTGGTTAAATAGAATTGAAGATTAAAAAAGCTATTTTAAGAATTTTCAAAAATATTTATTTTTTTTGTGTTTTTTGGTTCTTTAAAAACTTAATATTTAATAATCCCGAATAGCAAAAGTCGGATAATCGAGACTAAATCCTACGTCACAGCTGTGGATATGGCTTGAAGAGCAGATCCGTAGTAGAAAGGCCTGAGCATAGGGCTCGCCTTGAACTAGTCTATATATGTGTATAACGGATAGCCGAAGTGAGATTAGTACCTCGAAGGCTGAGTGGCAGGGATCTCTGATCGAGTGGTCAGAGATCGCCTTTTTTGAGGTCGTGGATTCGATTTTCATTGAACCCGACATGTTTTACATTAGTTTACACATATGGCAGTTATAGGGAGATCTACAACAGCGACTTCGAGGTAAATTTAGCTAAGGATTTCGTCTCGATTATCCGACTTGTGCTACTCGAGAATGCAGCAATATGTATTGTCAATTCTCATCATCGTTTTCAGTTCTGTCAAGCTTTACGAAGACTTCAGTGGTTTCTTCATCAACTTTATTGGTACTTGTAAAAGTGACTTCAGATGTTTTGGTAGTAGATCGTTCAGGTGTGATTGGTGGCGTTGGAAAGCCACTAGTTGTAGTTCTTTCTGACGTAGTTCTATATACAGTTGTGCTTGTTGTACTTGTTGTTGGCAGTTGTGATACTGTTGTTTGTGCAGGGGTAACTGGAGGGGTTGGATTTTCACTTGTTGAAGTTCGCGTTGTGGTGGTCCTAGTGACTGTTGTTTTTGGAAGTAATGTTGTCGTAGCTGAATAAAAATATATGTTGTTTTAAAAAGATTTCAAATTTTAAATCAATTGTGAGTTTTTACTTACAGAATAAATTGTTAAAGTTGAGAAAGCATTGTCTTAATAAAGTTCTCATAGAATCTCTTGATGCTGACGAGTCAATTATAGTCGCATTTGCACAAACATTTCTTAACAAATCAAATTCAGTTACATTTGTTTTGTCAATTATTCGCTCATCAATTGCTTCAATTTGATTAGAATGAAATGATAATACTTTCAAGTTCGGATGAGTTCCAAATGAATCTGCGTGCAGGATACTCAATTTAACCGTATTAGCATATAATTCAGACAAATTTTTCAATGGTACAAAAATACTTTTTGGAAAGTCTACAATAGGATTATTGTATACCCATAAAATTATTAATTTTTCCAAACTTTCAAACCATTCAATTCTTAGTGTCATAATTTGATTTTGACTTATAGATAATGTATTTAGATTCTTCAATGGTTTAAAGATGTTTGCAGGAAGATCGGTAATGTTATTTTCATTTAAACGCAAAATTAATAAATTATTCAAACTTAGGAAGAGATTTTCTGATAAACTTATAATTAGATTTCCGTAAATCCATAACTCTTGAAGTCTTAGATTATTATTGAATGATTGTTCTTCTATTTCACTAATTTTGTTGTCTTGGATTGAAATTATTAAAATATTTTGACAATCTTTAAAAGAATATTCGTTGATTTTTTTGATTCCTGTTTCATGAAGATCAATTTTTTGAACATTTTTAAATGTTTCACAAATTATTGATGGAATGTTTGTGCTAACGGAAGGAATTTTCCTAATAACATTTAAAACATTTTCATTATTTTGGCCTGGTTGATGTTTTCCATTAATTGTCGTAAAATTATTCAATCCGTTTGGATTGTCAATTGTTAAAGCACACTCATAATTTCCAGAACTATTATAATTGCAAGTAAGTGATAATGCTGTTTTCAAAAATAATAAATTTGAAGTCATTTCCAATTATTAATAAGTGATTATTACTTACTCGGAAATAAATAGTTATAAATTTCAAAGCATGGTCTTAATAGAGTTCTCATATCTTCTCTTGTTGGAGACGAATCAGTGATATTAACATCTGCACAGACATTTTTAATCATTAAAAAATCAGTAACACCAGTATTATCGATGATTTTTTCATCTATTGCCTCAATTTGATTATCCATTAATGAAATTGTTCTGAGATTTGGAAGTATTCCAAATGAATCCGCATGTATAACACTTAGCTTATTTGTTTGAGAAAACAATCCATTCAAATTGCTTAACGGGGCGAAAATATTTTTTGAAAAATCTTCAATAAGATTATCATATATCCATAAAATTTCTAATTCTTCTAAATTTTCAAACCATTCTGTTCTAAGTATTGAAATTTTATTATTGCTAATCGACAATGAAGTAAGACTTTTCAATGATTTAAATATGTTATCTGGAAGATCTGTAATGTTGTTTTTATTTATACGCAATACATTTAATCTTTCTTGATTGGCAAAAACATTTTCCGGTAAACTTGTAAGTACGTTATCGTAGATCCACAAAATTTGAAGCATTAAATTATTACTAAATGCGTTTTCATCAATTTTGGCGATTTTGTTAAAATCTACTTCAATAAATGAAAGTTTTTCACAATATTTAAAAGAATAATCGTCAATAGCTTCAATACTTATTCTCTGAAGTGAAATACTTTTAAGATTTTTAAATTTCTGACAAATTATTGATGGAATATTTGTGCTTATTGATGACGTTGTCCGAATAACGTGTAAAACATCATCATCACTTTGGCCTGGTTGATGAGTTCCATCAATAGTTAAAAAGTTGTTTAATCCATTTGGATTGTTGATTGTTAATTCACAGGTATAGTTTCCAGAATTAACATAGTTACAAGAAAGCGTTTGCCCAAAAATCACATGACCGAAATTAGAAAAAATTATTATCAAAAAATAAAACTTTGAACACATTTTTAACTCAGCACTGATCAAAACTCTCAAGTTAACTGAATGGATTTATCAACGATTCTAAAATTTATACACTTATTGGTCCACATCCATATCTTTTTGTAAGTGATATGAGATAAATTAAGATTATTTCTAAGTGCGAAACACTTGATTAAGAATGTTTTCAGATAACTATTGCTTCTAAAACCTAAATAATTTCTAATTCATTCTCAAAAGCGATATTTTTTCTAACTTTAAGAAGCATGAATGTACAAATCCATAATTGTTGCTCCAATAAATTAGCGAATGTCTTTTTTGAGAAATTTATAAAAACTTCACGCGACCTTGCTCAGTTCGAGTGCTATATAACAAATGTTATTTTACAATATTTCAACGTGGATTTTATTTTCCGGAATTAAAATCAGTGAATTTTAATTCTTTCGTTACAAGTTTCTTAATTAATAAAACTGTTATCATATTCAATGTTTTAAGAATTCTCCTTTAACTGAAAAAACGTTTTTTTCCTAGAATTAGTCAAAAAAAAAAATTCAGAGGAACTTAATTATCCATGTCTGGAGGGCTGTGAAGCTAAATTCAAATTAACAGCAAGGGTAATCATAGAATTAATAACATTGCCATTTATAATCAAAGAAAATCTTAAGAATTTTCGCAAAATATTTTATCATCGCAAAATCATTTAAAAGCTAGTTAAACTATGGATAACATATTTATTGATAGCTAACAAATCTTAAGCATGTTGTTCAACTATGAAAAAAAAGATTAGATTGTGCACTTGTGCCTCTAAGACAGTGTTGTCCAAACCTTTTGAGCCGCGGCACTTTTGAGAAAGAAACCATGATTAAAATCGTGCACAGCATGTCATTTCCAAAAAAATCTATGTCAAACTAGTGTGCCGCGGCAGACAGTTTAGACAACACTGCTCTAAGAAGAAAAAAAGAAATGAATGAAATCTTTATATCTTACTTATATGATTCAATAACATGATAAAAAGTATTTAATAGCATGAACAAGGTCGTGTGCTTAATATTAAAACTTGTTCCTGTAAATCCTCTAAAGTTGCTCCAAAATTGTCACTTTTTGCTTTCAATTCACTTTGTAGTCCTTCTATTAATAGTTTCTGTTGCTGATTCTCTTCTAATATCTCGGCAATCAATGCATTCTGATTTTCTAAAGCTTCCTGCAATTCCTCCTTTCCATCCTTAATATCTTTGAAGTTGTCATGAAATCCTTCAATTACATCTTCAATTTTGCACAATCTTTCATCTAAATTTCCAACATTGCATCCAGGTGGGAGAGTTTGGGTGGTCGTTGTTGCATAGGTTGTGGTTGTTGGAGTTGTAGTTGAAACATCTGTTGTTGTGGAAGTAATGGTTGTTGGTTGTGTAGTTGTTGAAATAATTGTTGTAGTTTCTGAACAAATAATCACAAAATTTAAATAATTTTACAGTTATCCCACCTCAAAATCTTACCAGGAAAAAGCTCCTCATAATTATCAAAGCAATTCCTTAAGGCTGTCCTCATTGACTGTCTCGATGCAGATGTATCAGTAATATTTATATCAGCACATATGTTCGATGTCATGTAAAAGTATGTTGCATTTGTATTATCAATAATCCTTTCATCAATCGCTTCAATTTCATTCAAAGTAAAGGAAAAGGTTGCCAATTGTGGATGGATCCCAAATGAATCGGAACTGATTTCCTTAAGATTGCATTTTTGTGCATAAAGTCCACGTAAATTTATTAAAGGTTCAAAAATTTTCTTTGGAAATACTTCTATTGGATTCTCGTAAATATGTAAAGATTGTAAGCTTACGAGTGGCTCAAACCATTCTGAACGAAGTGTTGCAATGTCACATCTACTGATGCTTAATGTTGTCAAATTCTTTAACGGCTCAAAAAGGTTTTCTGGCAAATCTTTGATAGGATTTAATCCAATGTACAATTTATCAAGTTTTGTATTCTCTTCGAATGCATTTTCGTCAATTTCGGTGATTAAATTGCCAATTAATTCCAAAGATAACAGCTGTTTACAGTTTTTAAATGAATAATCATTAATTCTTTGGATTTTATTAAGGTACAATATTATTTTCTCTGCGTTCTTGAACTTTTCACAAAATATTGAAGGAATGTTTGATGTATTTGACTGTGGATTCGATGAAGATATAAGTTTGACATCATTATCAGTCATTCCAGCTAAATGAGTTCCATTAATCGCAGTAAAATTGTTGAATCCATTAGGATTGGTTATTTTAAGATAGCAAATGTAGCCTTGAGTAGTACTTAAAACATATTCACAACTTATTGACTCATTTTGACCGAATATACTGTAAGTATTGACCATAAATATGGTCATTAATAGGACAATTTTTTTCAAATCCATGAAAACTTCCAAAATATATTTTAACTCTTTAAACAATCGCGACTGAATGGATGATTATCTATTTTAGTTCCTTTTAAATTCTTTTCTTTATCAAATTTCGTTTCCGTAGAGTGTCTTCGTTTTGTCTATTAAGACAATTGCTTCTCAAACTTTGTGTTACGTTACAAGTTCTTAAAATTGTTAAATATTAGACCAGCTATTGACTTTGTAGGGTCTTCGCTTAATTAAGAAAAAGGTTTTAACTTAGGATATATGCTTTCGTAAGAACAATGTTATAAATGCTTTAAAAGCAACTGTGTCACAAAATAAAAGGTTACGAAACTCTGGCTAATTTAATCTACTTGAGATAATTTTCAAGTACTTCCCATGAAAAGATAATTCGGTGACAATGTTTATTTGTAATTCAATGGAAATATCATTTAGAATAAGCACGTAATCGTTTATTTTTACTGTCATTTAAGGTCGATTAGAGAACGAATTTTCGTATTTTCAACCAAAGAACCAGGATTTTAACAAGCTATCAATTAAATCTTACTCGAACTATAATGAGCATATAATCTGAAAGCTTATGAATTAAAGAAGCTTGAAATTTCCAGAAACTTTAAAAATAAAATCTTACAAATAAATTTGATTCAAGGGATGAGTTTCTTTTAAATTGCACACCATGACTACATCACTAGCATGAATTGATTGAAAAATTAGCAAAAACTAGTAAAAATGTGAATATTGTTAACTTTAATTTCATATTTTCAGCCTTAATTAAGATTACAAGAAAGTTTCAAATCCTCAATTTGTCTTCTCAGATCTTCCAGCTCATGATTAATACTTTGAAAGTTTCCATGAAACTGTTCAACTTCGCCCTCAATTCTACAAACTCTTTCATCAAGATTCCCAACTTCACATTCTGGTGGAGAAGTTTGATCTATTGTTGTTGAAGTAATTCCAGTTGTTGTTTCTAAATGAAAATGTTTATGAATTAAATTTGATTTGAACATTTTTAAGAGATTTGAACCAATTTGAACATCAATAATAATGATATCCAAAAAAGTATGAATTTTAAAACTTAATTTGAACTATAATTAAGTTCCAGAAACCCAAATATAATCAGTGGACATAATTTAATGACTTCATATTCATTTTTCATCAATTATTCTCACCCATTCCCAAATTTCTGTAGTTTTCAAAACAAGGTTCCAAAATATTCATCATATTTTCTCTATTGTACAAGCCGTCGTTAATTTGTAAATCAGCACACACATTCCCAGTCAAAAACAGATAGTTCAGCATTTCAGTATTATTAAAAAGAAGTTCATCAATTGCATAGATTTGATTTCTCATAAAATAAATAGCATCAAGTTTCGGATGAACTCCAAACGATTCCGAATGAATTACTTTCAAGTTATTGTCATCGAATCCAAAAATTTCGATATTTTTCAGACCTCGAAAAGCATTTTCTGGAAACTCTTCAATCTGATTTTCATTCATGAACAAAAATTCTAAATTTTCCAGTGAATCAAACCATTCGGCTCTAATGTTCCTGATTTGATTGTCATAAAGGTACAGTTCCTTTAAACTTGTCAATGAACTGAAAATATTTGCTGGCAGATCCACGATTCTGTTTTCTGTTAAGTCTAAATCCAAAAGCTTTGTTTGATTTGCAAACAAATTATTTGGCAAAGTCACCAATTGATTGCTGTACATCCATAAATTCAAAAGCTCCCAGTTCTCACCAAACGATCCACTTTCAACAAAATTAATAATATTTGTATCCAGGTACAGTCCAGTAAGCATTCTGCAGTTGTTGAAAGAATTTCTGTTCACTCTTTGAAGTCCAATATTTCTTAATACAATAGTTCTGATATTTCTGAACCGTCCACAAATTATTGATGGAATGTTTATAGAACTTGAACCTGCTTCTGCAAAGACTCCAACAACATCTTCATCATTTCTGCCTTCTAAATGTGTTCCATCAATCTCTGTAAAGTTATTGAGTCCATTTGGATTATTTATTGAGAGATTGCAATTGTAATTGTTAGATTGAATTAAATATCGACAATTTATGGCTTCATTCTGACTGAATATTAAAGTAAAATTCAATAAAAATGTTAAAATTTTGAGCACTTTTTTCGACTTCATCTGAAAATTAAGCAAAATAAATTCAACACAGTGGCTGTTTATGACTGGATCAAGTTTAAAAAATTCAATAATATTTATACATTCACTTTAATCAGTGAACAACACTCAGAAGTACTTCCTGAGATCAGATAGCTAGTTTGATAAGAAAGAGAGGGGAAATTAGAAATAAGCCAAAATTATTTGATGAAATTCATTTTTTGCTTTTATTTAATTAACTTCGATTGGTTCCTTATCATTTGAAACAGATAAAGTTTTCGCTTAAATTCTACAATTGTGTTAAAGTCATGGCTTGGACATTTGTTCTGAAAGTTCTCGTTCCCTTAATCATCAGATAATATTCGAATGATCTGCTTTTGACTTAATTTAATATTTTGAGTTCAAAAACTAATCTTTTTACAAGCACAAGGCCGGATCTGAAGTTCTAAAATCTGATTCTGCATTTCCTTCATCACGGCACTGATATCTTTGATTTCATTTTGTAATTCCTCAATCTTGATATTAAGTTGAAGTTTTTCTTCTTGAATATTTTGAAAATCTTCCTGTATTGCTTTCATCTCATTCTCCATATCACAAAATCTATCATTTACATGACCTCGATCACAATTTTGATTTGCGTTTGAATTTTTTATAGAGTCCAAAATAATTGTTGGCAGATCAGTGACTTTATTATCATTTTGACATTGAATTAAGATGGCATTTACTGATAAAATTAATAAAAGCTTAAAAATCTTTGAATCCATTTTTAGATATACGTTCGGTACGATGGTTTTTCTTCGACTGAGCAAATGAGAAGGAATGTTTGATTCTTATATTTTTCGTTATCATTAAATCTTGGGGATTCTATAATTCACCAAGTAATTTTGTGACGTTTTCTTGATTTTTACTTCCTTTGTTCTTATCAAAACTTGTCTGGGCTGCTAATCTAAGCTGATTCATTGTTTTGAGTTGTTTTTGTTATCTTAAGAATGTTTGATAGTTCAATAATTGTTGTTAAGTTGTTGATAAGGTGTCGTTAGTTTGTAATGTTCATCATTTGAAGTAAGAGAGGTAGTTTGGGGGTTATTAGACACCCCAGAAGCTGGGGTTCAATAAATTTTGATCATTTTTGTTCAGTTTTAATCTAATTTGGTCAATTCGATCAGTTTCGAACCATTGAGTTAAGGAATTCATTCAATATTACATTTTTTTATGGATATGCCCCTTAAAACTCATTGTTTAAAAAGAACACATACAAAGCCAACGTTTAATGCCTTGTGTTATGTCCAGAACACAAAATTTCACAAGCACCTCATACAATCATCCACTTTTATTGCCAGTTCCTTTAAATTAGCAATCCACCCAGCATTTTATTCATTCCATAATATTGCAAATTTATGACAAATTCTGTGCCAATTTATCTGTGAGAAATCGCGTTATATTGCAAATAATAAAAAAAATGAAGAAATACTAAACGAGTGATCGTAAAAAAGCAGACAAGCTTCGTTGTACTTCCTTCAATATATGCACGTTTTATTGGTTGGGAAATGAGCATGTATAATTTGCATAAATTTCATTTTCCTTCCAATTTTTATTTTATTTTATTCCTGCATGTTAAACCAAGTCTGGCAATAAAATTGAGTTGAAATGCGAAACTTTTGAGAAACTTAAAGGAAAAAAAGTTGAAATTTGTAACGAACTTTTTGGATTTGAATTCTTTTTCTTTTGAAAATTTGAAGTTTTTTGTTGCACAAAAAATTCACTGGCAACAGCTTAAACCCACTTAATCTTAAATTAAACTCAGCAAAGCTCCCCAAACAGCATACACAGTGCAACCCCCTTGACAATTTTCATTTCATTTTCCACAAATAATACACAAATGTATACAATTGCCGTATGCATATAATATAATAAAATACATATAAAATGAAATGTATTAAAACCATTATCATGCCATATAATAATAGAAGCTGCTTCATTGTTGATCTCGTACATGAAATGGAGAAATTGCGGAAACAAAAATATCTAATTTTAGAATGAGATTTCTGCATCCAGAAAAAAAAGAAGGATGAATAAAAAAATACGAAGTCGCAAGAAAATTTATTTGTTTCTATAAAAAATTTAACCTCATGTGCTTAATTCTATTTTATTGGCATGAAAAAAATAAAAAGCGAAGGATTGAGGAGCAGATTAATGTGAAGTGGGAGATGCTTATATGTTTTTTTTGTGGGTTGGGGTTTATTTTGGATTTTTGGATTTGATATTTAGATTTTTTAAGATTGAAAATTTTACAAAAATTTCTCAGCTTGTTTTAAAACTGGAATTTAGAGAAAGTTTCAGTCAAAGAGCAAGCTGAGGAGTCAAACATCATAATGTTAAATCTGTCGGAACCAGGACACGCCCTTTGTGGTCCAGTGGTTCAACCAATGATCAAAAAACTTTCGTTCAATTTTTAAGAAAAGCTGTTCGGTTCCTACTTACGGCATTCCTAGGCACCAAGTTTGTAGGTTATTCAAGTATCAGAGTAGTTTTTGGTTATGCTTCATTGTGTATTCCATCGATTTTCAATTTAAGCTAGGTAGCTCAGATAGCACCGAGGTGGTAAACACAAGCATCGAGTAGACTGAACTTAAATTTGGCGCAAACCAAACTCAAAACCGAGTCCATGTCAAATTATTTAACTTCTCAGCGCAATGTTTCTTACAGGATATTAAAAAAAGGGGTCGTTCACTTATGACGTCCGAAATTAACGGTCATTTTTTTTAAAAAAAACAAACCTGAGCTCTCCACGATGTCTGGTAAAAAAGTTTTTCTTCAGACGAACGAGCAGCCGAACGAACGAACGAACGAACAAACGAACGAACGTTTCGTATTATTAAGCTCCCTTTTTACATACAAGGATACAAAAATGCGCTAAAAAGAACAGTTGATTCCAGAATATTCTTTTATTCTTTTCTTTCTGACTCTCGTACCCCCCCCCCCCCCCCATTAGACGTCATAAGTGAACGTCCCCTAACAATGAATAAGTCTAGTTCCCCCATCTCAAATCGATATTATTACTATATTTTGCCCAACACTTCTCAACAGTCAATTAAGTCATTAGACATCCATAAATTGCTGTCGATATGACAAAGATATGCTCCAACGTCATAACCTCTCAACTAAGGTCACATAGTTCGCACATTTTCACCCCCTCAAAAAAAATTTACTGCAATATAATTCATACTTATTTTCAGGACATTTAATTCGACATCATCCTCTTTTCATAGAATAATAAAAAAAAATCTTTAACAGCATAAAAAAAAATTTCAATTCTCTCCCGATAATCTGAAAATAAATTGCCCCTAATGTCCTTAGGAGAACTAATAAGCCTTCTTAACTTTCATTCAACTACACATTTTTTTCTCTTTGGCACTTATACTATCGATTTTCCCATTTGACATTCAACCTACACATTAGCAAGGAAAATGTATGTACATAAAAAAATAGTAGATATTCATGATGCGATCCTTTTTTTAGAGCAATTATGCTTCAGGGAAATGACCGTAATAAAATTTAATGAGCATCGAATTAAAATTAAATCGCACCGACATAAAAAATGTTCTTAATTTATATTTTATTTTTTGAGTATCGACAAAGTTTTTTTATATCCTCCGAATTTCTCTTAATGATTTTAATTAAGAACAATTTTGCATGTAGTCAATAAATTTTCAATCGAAACGTGTTTAATTTGAAAATCTCATAACTTTTTCGTCTATCTCGCGTGCTATTTGGATGTAAGTTAGAATTGTTTCGTGTTATCATATCTAATATAAATACGTACGTGCTCATTTTATGGTTGAAGAAATTTTCATCTCTTTCGCTTTTTACTTTTTCGACTTTATTTTTCACAGACACAAAAAAAAATAACAGGAACATTCAAAACGTGTTGGAAAGAAAATCGAAAAATAATTGGAAAGAAATAAAAAAGTTTAAATGAGTCTCATAAATTTTCGATCTCATGATATCGGGAATTTTTGAATAAGGAGGGATGTGAGAGAAGGGGTTGGTTGGCTTTTTGTCTTAATGTCAGGATATTTGAGCTGTAGCATGTTTCCTAACATTAGCGAAGGACTTAGTAGATCAATAGGGGCTGTTTAGGAGGCAAGCAAGGTCGTGGCTTAAACCAACGGGTTCAAATTCTTTAAAAGAGATTCAAATTTTTACAAATTTGGATTTAGATGTAAAAACACTAGGTTTACCACTAGTAAGATCGAAGTCAGACACTTAAAATTAATTTTAGCATGGAAATAGCTACAATAGCTTTGGTATTTATCTGAACGAAAGTTGACTTTCATAAAGCAGGATGGATTTGAACCCCTGCTTTCACGATTTTTGGTCATATAATCTTTATAACTAATCTGTTGGGTGTTGCTTGAAAGCTTGGCAGATTGCCAACTTAAACTATTAATAAACTTTAAACTGCAATTTTCAGGTTATCTTTGATGCTTAACATAGAATTCCTCTAATAGAACCCTTAAGTCCCTTGATCCTGAACTCAGAACCCACCCTTGAATTTATTCGTCCAAAATTTAATTACGTAAATTTTACATGAAACGTGCGCTTTCTCACATTCCAACTCAAAAGTCTCCCACACTCATCACATCCACTTCCTTATTTTCCAATTTCATTGAGAATTTATTGAAATTTTGTTCATTTAAAATCGAAATTAAAATGAAGAAAAACGTTGAGAAATGAGAAAATCTCTTATCTAGTTTTAAACTCATTCACAACAATGAGCTTCAATGTCGAAGCTTTAAAGAATGTGTTGAAATGCATGAGCAACATCATACATACACCTCACAGTCATGGAATTCAAATGGCAAAATTATTCAAATGAAAATGGAAATAAAAGGCAAAAGCACAGTTGAGCATTGAAATGTAAGCTTTTTTTTGTCGTCGTCGTCATCATCATCAGCCGTAAGAAGTCCAGGATAATATTTGTTAGTAGCAGGAAGGAAAATTCTTGCAGTAAAAGATACATTTTATGCTCATGATGTATTAAAAAAAATCTGTTGGGTGATTTATGGACAGGAAAGGAGGAATTCTTGAATGTTTGAATATTCATAAATGGGTTTTGGGGAAGGAGATGAAGGATGAGAGTTTGAAATTTTATGGAGTTTTTGTTTTATGAACTTTGAATTTGCATTTTAAGATGGTTGAGCTAGTTTGCGAAGTTTAAAGAGTAGTATAGCCATTCTAGAGACAGAGCTTCAATAAAGAAGTCTGAAAGGGTCCAGGAACTAGTTTTATGAATATATTCTTACAGCTTTGGCTAGTATGGCCCCAGAAGTCCTTCAATTCTTGAACATTTTCATTCAAAAATGAGTTTGACCGCTCCTGGCCATCCTTGCTTCAACTCTGCTTCCAAATTTCAAAGCTTTCATTTTCTAAATCCATAAAATAAGTCTTACCTGTAAACCAAATGACTTTTAATTCAAAAAATAATATTTTCAGCAGTGAAAAAAGTGAATTTTTCATTTCAAATTATGCAAATTTGCTTCTTTTGTATTTTATTGCGTTGAACAAAAAAAAATTGCATATCTGTGAATAATAAAACTCACCTGCTACTATCATTGTAGCGTTACGACTCCGTGCCACACCTAATTCATTTTTTGCCTCACACACATAAACGCCACCATCGTTTTTAACAGCCTTATTACACAATGATGTTGAAAAAATATGAAAAGAGAAAGAAATAAAATTTTTTTTTTATTAAATGAATGAAATTTTGAGGGAATAAAAAAAGATGTGAAAAGAAAATGTTGAAAGATATTTCCCGGTGGAAGCATTACAACGTGGATGGGAATTATTATTGTTAGAAATTTTGGAGATAAGTCGTTTAAGCGCATTGATTCTATTATGGAAATGTGTTTAACTTTTTTTTGTAGATTTTTTGGAATTTTAAATTTGCACATTATGCTGGAAGTTGCTGTAAATTGCTATGTACATTAGAACTTGGAGTTTTGAGATTTTTGAGCAAAAATCTGGTCGTTCTTGTAGATTTTTGATTTTGTAGTTGCAACTATAGGGACTTTAGCCATTAGCGAGTATGATTAAGATTGTAGCTTACAAATTGGATTCAAAACTGGTTAATAAGGTTCCATGGGGTCAATGTGAAGATGTTTTTAAATCTTGGAGCATTGGACATTGATTTGTAACTCCAATGCCCCCAAGTAGCCTCTCGAAGTACCAATGACTATCTGAACTACTATAGTTGACCACTTTAATTGCTAATGTCAGTTAAAATATCTAGTAAAGTTGATCAAATGAATCTAATTGTAGAACACTAAATTAGAAGCAAATAAAATCTTCAAAAGAACCGTCAAAAATTAAATTAAATCATCTAATACGATACTTTAGAAATCATTTCCAACACTAAGCAGACAAGAATCTGATTTAATAAAAGAAAAATTCCAACATTTTCTTTCCGCACTCAAAACCAGGTTCAAATAAATGAATGAGTGGGTAAGACCAGAAATGAAGAAAAAAAAAAATTCAATATCCTGTAAGTTTATTTAATTTTCAGCTGCAGCTACTGTCTGATTATAATTCAGACAATCCGATTACCGGCATCTCATAGCAACAGAGCATAGATTTTTTTTATATTTCGTACGTAATGATATTCTCAAAAGAATTACATAGAAGCAAATGAGAGTAAGGAGGGGATTTTCCTACGATAGCTTTCATGTCATGCCATTACGTTAACGTTTAAATTGCAAGAACATTAAATACATGGAAAAGGAAGCGAATATAAAAAAATAAATGTTGAAAGATTTAAGGTGTACATTTTTAATTAGTTTTTCTTCCTCTCCCCTTTTTTTTCAGTGTTTCATCTTCTGCCTGCCTATTTTCCACCGTGTTATATCTATCATGTACGTCGTCATATGCGAGGTGGGCGAATTTCAATGAACGAAATAAAAAATTAAAAAACATGAAAGGCAAAAAAGGCGTTTTTTAATTTACTTTTATTTACATTTTTTTTCACTCATTCATTTGCTTACTTCCTTGCTACTTCTTCTGTATTATTTTAACTTTTTTTTTGTCGTGTATGATTTGGTAAGCTAAACAGAATAAAAAATTATTTTAATGGGAAATTGTGAACGTGTTGGAATCTCTTTTCCTGCTAACGATTCTCAAAAGGTTTTATGCATTTTTTTTGTTGCTGTTTACTTTGCTGATTTTTTGAAAGGGCATCTTTTATGAAACATTTATTTATATGCTGGAGTGGAAGGTTCAATGTTTAAAAGTTAATTTTTGATGAACTTTGAATTATTTTGTTATTTTGCCTTTAGATGATGGCTGGTGGACGCACTGAATTTTTTATTAAGGAGGTTGAGTGACAGATTTTTATGTTTAAAGGTGATTCTTATGAATTTGTGAATAATTCTAGGACTGAATTAAGAGTGATGTTAGAAGGGCTAATTTAAGGATTTCTGAATCATTTTCAACACCTTAGCCTCATTAAGAGCCAGATTTAACGGATACCTAAAATATCATAGTCATAATATGATCAACACATGCTGAATAGGGTTTCTGAAGCCGTTAACGAAAAACGGAAAACGGCCGTTAACGGTACAAAAATTGAAAACGGAAAACGACCGTTTTTCATTCCGTTTTTCCGTTTTCTCATAGTTCATACAATGTAATTTTTAAAAATTTTTTTGTTTATTTCCTTTAAAAATTATTCTCAAAAACAGTTAAAAGTTTCTGCAATTGAGATTTATTATTATGGATTGCCTGGAAAGTTTGAAAATCTCATTTCAAGTAGTATATTAGAATCAGAAATGTAATCATAGTTGCGACTCCAGTTTTGTTTGTTGCAGAGGGCGAAGTCGACTCGAAATTTGTATGAAGTCGAGTGAACTCAAGTCGACTTTTCCATACAAAATCCGAGTCGACTTCGCCCTCTGGTTTGTTGTTTAGATACAACAAATCAAAATCTGGACTCAAGAATTTACAACGGATTTTTCATATTTGATTTTTATCAATTTTTATGAAAAATACAGGAAATCGATCGGAAAATCTTCAAAAACTTTATGATGCTTTGTTGTGTATTAAGTCGACATATACAGATGTAGAGCGAATATTTTCAATCTGCAATAATTTTTGCACAAAGATTCGTTCAAGGCTGGCTGATGCATCACTAAATGTTCTTGTTTTTCTTAAGTTTTATTAAAATAAAATGAATAAACAGTTATAATAAATATAAATAGAAATCTACATATTATCTATATTGGCAATTCCACGGATGAGTTGAATTTCGAAAAAAATAAATTTTTGATCCATGTTCTTTAAAAATTTGATTGCTTCAAAAATAAACTTTAATTAAGCTTACACTTTTTAAAACGAGTTAAAGATCTTCATTGACTATTAAACTTTTAAAAACAAGGTTTGGTTCTTTAAAAATTATTTCCTCACGGATTTGGCTTAAGCGTTGGTATATTACATTAATTGCATTAAAATTATTCATTTTTCTGTCTATTGAGTGTCTTTCAAGTCAATTTAAGTATGCAGAATCATAGAAGAGGATAGAAAGAACGGTTGACAATAAAGACAACATTAATAGTTGTCTAGATGTCTTTAAAGTGGTAAATTTCTGCTTTCATATTCAGAATTCAACATTGTGTAATATACCAACGCTCACAAAAATCCAAATATTTCATTAATTAAGGCATGACAAGATGCGTAAGTTAGATAGAATGAAAGAGCTCGTCGTTTTACATAAGTTTGTGAAAAAATTGCAGCTGCAAAGTTCTCTAATTAAGAAAAAATTCGATTCAAAGATGAATATTTTGGAAAAATCAATCGGTGGAATTGCCCATATAGCACAGCAATTCTTTATCTTTTGAGGAATATTTCATTTATATTTGGTTATTTAAAAAACTTAAAACGGACCGTTAACGGCCGTTATTGAAAATAAAAAACGGAAAACGGCCGTTTTCGAAAATGCCGTTTTTCAGAAACCCTAATGCTGAAGCACTGATTTTAGGTTTTATAACTTTCGATAAAGTATTATTAACGTTATGGGAAGCCATAGAAATGGACTCTGATTTTTAAAAGTGAAATCTCTTAGATAATGTAGCTAGGGCGAGTATTAGTGGTCTGTACCCAACCACACACTCTATTTAAATTTTCTACGATTTTTTGAGAACCTGCAAGCTGCATCCACAACATTTTAGTTAAATATCCTTCAAAAATCAACTCTTCAATAAAAATTCCTCTAAGCCAAATAATCCAGCAAGTCTCCATCCCTTCCATTCACTTCTATCGATTTTTTTCTTCTTCCTTCATACTTTCATTCTTAATTTTCGTAATATTTTACGGATATAAACGCAGCAATAATAAAAAGTTGTGTAATAAAAACAAAACTTCAACAAAGTATCTCGTTCATATATACTGTGTCTAGTCCCTTAAGGTTAGGGAAATCATCATCATTTCTCCATAATATTTTTCGCGCTCATTTGCTGTCAACAGAACTAAAGAAAGATGAATTTTTTTGTACCCCATTGTGGTGATTTCGAGGGGAAGTTTGGTGCTCATGAGTAAGCACAAGACACAAGTTTTGAGAACCCATTGGTAAGAGTTGACTCAGTTCCCAGTATTCTAAGGTATCGTGTGAATTTGTAGCCCTAAAGAAGCTAGATCTCTATCTCAACATCGTAGCCGAGCAGTAGGTTCAAGTAAATAATCTCAATTCCATACCAAAACATTCTCCCAAAATCCTCACAAGTTCCAGTTTATTTCAGCAATAAATAAAAGAAGAAGAAATGGCACACAGCATTGTAAAAATTATGTTAATAGTATGAGAAGCTATACAAAGTAAATTGTTAGGGAAATAGCTGTAATGTTGAGCAAGAGATGACGATGAAAAAAAATAAATCAATTTTTATGAAAGAAAAGGGAAATTAAGTTCGTTACCGGCATTCATGCATAAATATTTAATTTTTCATCATCCGCATTTTTCAGCAGTGTCGTTTCCCAAAAAAAAAAAAAAATATGTACACGAGCAGCATGTGGAAATAGAATTGAGATAATATGGTTAAAAAATAAGAGGGTCATAAAGTCCTCTCATTAGATTCGTTGTTACATCTCCATACACAATGTACACATTCATATTGGATTATTTAAATTTGAAGCAGCACACACAAAAATTTGCGGATCATAATCGAGAGAGAAAGTCCACACATAGCGATTGTGAATGTAAATATTTTAATATCTACATGATATGAATTATAAATTTATTTAATCATCAGCTCAACCCCTCATTTTTTATAGAGGATAAAGTTTTTTTTGTCTATTTTGTAGGGATTCTGTGAGGATTGTTTTGATGATTTGGAAGTTTTTTTTTGGGTAGTGGTGCTTTTAAGTGCTGCTGATATCATCTTTTACAAATTAACACGTTTGCGGATTTTTTTTTATAAATTTATGCAGTGATGTAACTTGGATTTTGGAGCAATTGAGGCACTGTTTTAGCTAAGACACCAAAGATCACAAGCATTTGAATGCTCAACTAACTGTTACCGACCCCTACTCTACTTAACCATCTGAAACTTCCAAATAGCTTATAAATTACTAAGTATTCACATTTATTCTAGCTTCAACCGGCTTCTTAACATTCATATCTCTAACCTGTTCCTTCTAGAATCCCTAGTAATCCTTCTCATAACTCGGCCCTCAAAAGATTTTTATATATTCAAGAACAATCCGATTAAATTAATTTGCTAAACTTCATCTTGATTCCAATTCCACTTTGATACACTTAAAAGAGATTCAGAATTTTTTTTATGAAAAAATCACAGTTGTAGGTCTGGTACCGTTGCATCTCTTCCTCACTCATTTTTCTCTTTTCCTGCCTTACTGCTATGATGAAAAGTTTTAACATTTTTTCTATATATTTTTTATATCCCCTCTCAGAGGACTTGTTATGAAATTTTTATTCGTGCATTTTCTTTTTGTACTAACTTGTAGTATCGGTTCCTTGTAGGAGATTTGGGTGATTTTTGAGATTTAAAAAAAAATATCAAAGGAAAATTAGAAAAGCACAAGTCGGTTAATCGAATAAAAATCTAGTGCCAAGCTGGCATGACTTTGGCATGGTGCTGGCTACGATTTAAATCCATCACCATGCTGCAGGCGTAAGTTGGTGCCAGATTTTTGATTGATTTACCAGCTCGTGCCATTCGGGAAATAAAGAGGGTTATGGTTTGTGTGGTCTGATTAGGATTTGAGAATCGAACCCAGGTCGTCTCACTTAAATCTTACAAACTCGCAGCCTGTTGCCTCACCCTTTCAGCTACAAGCCACTTGCATGAAATGACTAATTTGATCAGATCTGACTCTAAGATCTTTAAGTTTGATTCTGATTCCATATCTTACATCCCACTCTGCCTTCGCAGTTCCTTAAATCGATTCTTAAATTAAAATGACCTCTTCTGCCTGTGATTTATGCTTTATGATTTAAATAAACAAAATCCTTGACTCTTGACACCTCAAAATTTATCACTTAATTCAAGTCCAATAATAATTAAATTCCCAGTGAAGATTGAAAAATCTGATAAAATTACCCTAAATGAGATACATAGTGAGTAAGACTGGAATAAATTTTAACCATCCTCTTCAAGCCACACAGCAGGATGAATTTCATCTCATTTTTTTATTCTTATTATTTTTTCGGTGTGTATGTTTGTGCATGTAAAGAGGGATATTCAGAGACAGTCGGATGAAGAAAAAAAATATCCAAAATGAAAGGGAATGAAAGTTTAAGCTGCCACTTTAGCATGAAAATCTCGTCGAGAAATTTTTTTTTTGTTGTGAATACACGAAGGAGGATTGAGGGGTGATGAAAAAAATATGTAAAGGAATTTAGGAAGCATTTGAGATATTAAATTTTTTATTCTTTTGTCTCTATGTTGTTGATCTAGTTCTAGCAATAGCTAATGTTGGATTTGTTTGGGGTTTGGGGGGTTGTCTTCGATTTATTTTATTGTTTTTACATTTTTTAGAAATGAAAGTTCTTTTGGAATAGTATACACTTGATTGAAAATCAAAGAAGTTGCTGATTTTGGGGATGAAATGAATTTGCTGAGGATGAAACTAGGAATTTTTATTGAAGAATTTTCCAAAAAATATAATTTTTTATTTTTAGGAATTTAGCCGAAGCCTGGAGAACGAAGAGGGGTGATTTGGTATAAGATTGCCTCTAATCACAAGCTTATGTAGTATAAGATGATCCAAATCGACCCAAAGCATTAAAAATCCCACTAAAAACATTTATGATACGCTATAGCCCGCTAGTGAGTGTCATTATTCAATGTACATCCACCAAAACATCTTTCACACTTTCCAATGTAATCTACAATCTAAAATCCACCAAAAAATTATTTTTTACACTAAAGTCATGCCTTAACCCATCGATCTTTAATATCTTTCAATATTTTCTTTCAAAAATAGGTCAAAATAAATCTGCAAAATATTTTTTCACGAAGCCAAACAAAATATTTTGCACAAATATTCGAACATCCTCCCATAAACAACAGAAAAAGTAGAAGAAAAATCAATAAAAAAAATATTTCACTTCCCCTTCTCGAATGCCTTACCTTAAGAAAAAAGAGATTCCCCATGGGTAAAATATTTCGATGTTGTGATGATTTGAGCAACATTCCATCCTTATACCATAAAATTGTTGGATTTGGAGAACCTTCTGATTTACAATTTAACGTAACTGGATCATTTCGTGGCACGACTGTATCTATTGGATGTTCGACTATTCGTGGTGATGTAAAGGCTATAACAGAAAAGAGAGAAAAAAAGAAAATTTAATTAAATTTGAATGAAAATCCACAATTAAATTAGACGAAGTGGATGGAAATCAAGTGTTATGGTCTGTTGCCATTATGGCCAGCAGTAGTGCTCACAACAAGATTGTTATAAAATATTTAATGAAGCAGAACAATAGCAACAGAAGTGGCGATGCAGAAAAATATTATTGTGTTGAGTTTTGAAGTAAGTTGATGATTTGGTTGGATGTGACTGAGCGCATTTGAGGAAAAATTTGTTAAATGTTCTTATATTGATAATCCAGTAATCTATAACTCTAGTAATCTAGTACTCTAGTATTTCATAACTCTAGTGCTTTAGTAATCTAGAACTTTAATAATCTAGTACTTTAATAATCTAGTAATTTAGTAATCAAGTACTCTAGTAATCTTGTACTTTAGTAATTCAGTACTCTAGTAATCTATTACTTTTTCAATCTAGTCCTTTAGTACTCTAGGAATCCAGTACCCAAGTAACATAGTAATCTAGTCCTTTAGTACTGTAGTAATCTAGTAATTATATAATCAGGCAATCTAGTTTTCTAGTAATCTAGTACTTTAGTAATTCAGTACTCTAGTAATCTAGTCCTTTAGTAATTCAGTAATCTAGTAATCTTGTCCTTTAATAATTCAGTACTCTAGTAATCTATTACTTTTTTAATCTAGTCCTTTAGTACTCTAGGAATCCAGTACCCAAGGAACATAGTAATCTAGTCCTTTAGTACTGTAGTAATCTAGTAATTGTATAATCTGGTAATCTAGTACTCTAGTAATCTAGTACTTCAATAATCTAGTACTCTTGTAATCTAGTACTTTAGGAATGTAGTCCTAAATAAATCTAGTCCACAAATCACTCTCCAAATATAAATGTTTATAAAAAACAACCTCAAGTTTTTCTTTGATTAAATGGCAAATTTTCATGATTCTGAGAGCAGAAAAATTAATACTAATGAAAATTCAACAACATATGGCAGACGCGGTTTTAAAAAGTTTCCATATTTCCCCCCAAAGTGCAACAATCAACCCCCATTCATTCCACAAATTTTTCCCTTAAAAATTAAATTTGTTTCGCTTTGCAACACATTTTAGACGCTAATTAGTTTTTCACCGTAATTCACGCGGTCTTGTTGGATGAGAAAAAAAAATGTTTCTGTCTCGCATGTCAGCTTGAAAAACTTTTACGAGAATATTTTTTATGAAGGTAAGCAGCGACTGCTGTTATTCAACTACAACAATGATTATGCAAGTTGATGATGATTGTTTTGTATCTTTCAGGCTGCTCAGATGTGCATGAAAATTCCTGAGGATAGAAAGTTTCTTGTTTATTGTGATAATAGCAAGTGCCTCGGGTTCCATACATACAAATCAACCCACACACATGTGCGAGACATTCCGTGACTAAACAAAAAGGAAAGAAAAACAGGAAGCAGGAGAAGCTGCACAGATGTGACGTTGAGAGTTTCTACCGTGAAATTGTAAATCAACATGGGGATAATGATGATGCACAAAAATTCCTTTTATCTCATTCCTTAACAAGAACCGTGAATTAAAATGAATGAAATGAAGATTTTGCGATTTAATGGAGGATGTTTTGAACTTCCGGGTGGAATTTAGTGGGGATGTGAATTTTAATGGGGGTTTATACTTTTGCTTAATGCTATAAGCATGCACCGTTAGAATATATTGACATTTTTAAAGTATTTTTAATAGAATTCAACAATATAACCTCAAAGTCATACAGAAAAACCCTGTCGGCATCCATTAAATCTAAAATATCGATAGTCATCAATTTCCGTCATCATTTTACACCTCTAAAAATCACAAACCTTAAGAGCTCTCAATAAATATACAACAATAGGATTACTTAACACGCAGAGTAGTTCAGTAAAAAATAAGCAAAAGAATTTCCTGTGTCATAAAAGTGAAGAAGTAGAGCATTAAGAGCTCCCCAGAGCTATCAACTTTTATACATTTTTCCATTCACTATAGGTAAAGTACATCAGCAGAATCTTTTGTAATGCAAAACAGGATAGAAAAAAAAATATTTTTATTATATGAAGGAATAAATTAAATGCAAAAGAGGAAGTAACGATAATTTTTGACTTTATAACTAGATGTATGAGAGAACGTGGATAATATTTTTTGGTGAAGGGAGGGAAAATGAGAGTCAAATGAGTGTGTAATATCGAGGGAGGCATCGAAACGCTCTAGTTATTGTTGATACTATTACCAAACAACCCCTCTGATGTGCCATTAAACGATTTCGTCTCATTTATATAGGGAATTGTATTGTGTGGATAAAATTTAAGTTGGATGGGATTGGGGGCTGTAGGAATTCGACAAAAAATTAAAATTTGACTATTGATGTATTTATTTACTTTTTTCAATTTATTTTAGATTTTTTGAGTTTTTTGAATTTTTTATATTATATTTTTTGAATTTTTGAATTTTTGAACTTTTTGAATTTTTTGAACTTTTTGAAATTTTTGAATTTTTAAAATTTTTTTAACCTTTAATAATTTTTTTGAATTTTTTAAATTTTCTTCAAAATTCAAATTTTTCATAAACTTTAACTTTTATCATTTTTCACATTTCCATTTAATTTTCTTTTAAAATATGAATTCTATTCCTCCAAATCGAGCATCTTCAACAAATTAACTACAAATCCCCTATCCTCAAACACAATACACAGCAGACAGCATAGTAATGTTGATACAATAACAAACAGAGCAGTAAAATAAATTAAAATCATAAAATAATTAAAGCAAATAAATTGTTCAGTTTAGAAATTTTTTAATGGTTCAATTTTATTTTTCCATTGTTTCTCATTAAAATACAAAGCCGTAATTCTTTTGAGGGGAAGCTGGGAGGAAAGAGACAATCATGTTGGAGCGGGTGTTGTTAGCATTTTATAATCATAATGTGATCTTTTTCAGGTGGAATTTTAATGAATTTTCGTAAAATAAAAAAAAGGTTTAAAAAAATTCCAATGCGCAACGTTTAGATCGATTATAAAATTTTCAGGAATCGAACCTATTCTATTTAATTAATTTCAAATATTTTGAAGACTTAACTTTTATTTACATGTCAAATCTTGTTAAATTCTATATTTATAATTTATAACGAAAAACTTATTACAAATGTTATTATTAAATTGAATTGAAATTTTTTCAACAATCTTAAAATCATTATCTTAAAAAAATGCTAAAAATGGTTAAAGGCATCTGTTTAAAATTATGCTAGCGGAATTTTTAAAAGCCAGACATCAATATTAAAATTTTTTATTTCTCAAAAAACCGAAAGCAAACAGAAATTTGAGGGTAGTTTGCTATTTAGGTTCTACAAAAAATATGTTTTGCCTCTTTCAGTGGTAAAATTAGTGGAAATTCTCGCTCGTAGAAAGAATAAAGAAAGCAAAAGTCATTAATTTTCAAAATATATGCACGAAAAAGCAATGAAAAAAATATAAGTTTTTTTTGTGTACATTCGAAAAGTCATAAAAATAAATAAGGAAAGGAAGTTTGGGGGTAGTTTTTAATGAATGAGGAGGGTTTGGGTGGTCTAATTTGAATATTAAGAATGAAAAGTTTATTAATGTGATAGTTTAAATTTATGGTTGATGAACTTTGATTAATATATCTATTTTAAGTTTTTTATGTGGCAAATGCAACTTAATTCTTTTTAGATAACAAGTTTGAATAGCTTCGAGTAGCACAAAGCATGAGAAAATAATTCAAATAATTAAAGCAAAGGTTCAAATCCCATATTAACTTCATTTACTTTGACAAGAGCATATTCCTTCTTTTTGTATAACTTCAATTTATTAACTTTAAATCCCAAATACTATTTTTGCTACATCCACAAATTTTTACCTCACAAGACCCTCAAGCTACAAAAATCACGATAAAACAATTATGAAAATTAAATGAAAAAAAATCTCTGAAAAATTGACTTTAATTTGTTCTCCATTTAAAGCTTCAAAAAGTATTTCTCGTGGAATTTCATGTATTTTTTTTGGCGAAGGTAAATTATGAAAATTCAGACACTAATTATGTTGATTATATATTCTCGGTACTATGATGATAATGCTTTATTTATGGCATTTGTGGAGAATATTTTGTGTGATGTTTATTATGAAAAATATTTCGCGTTTTGTAAATTAAGGAAATTAAGCTCTTTGATGTCAAATATGAGGTTTTTGGAAATTCTGAAAATTAATTTTCACGATATGAGTCTCTACAAAATTGTATTGCCATAGAAATCATAGCCATCCAAGTCCACAGGCACTCAATATTCAGTCTATAAATATTTTTTACCTCCAATATTCAAATATTTACGAGTCAGTTAGCTTAACAAAATTTGATCAACATCGAGTGCCCAATTAGGCTTGTACATACATATCTAGCAAGCTCATTAAAATGTAAACTGTATACATAATAACAGTCACAAGCTACTAACATGAATACATAAAATTTTCATGTCATTTTTCAATCGTTCGTCAAGCTTGTTTACTGAATAATCATCGACATAAAATGCATTTAATATCCAGCTATATTTTACAAAATAATTGCGACTTAAAACGGAAGGTTAATAAGAAGGTAAGGTTGGTGAGAGGGTTGATTGCTTATGACGTCTAGCTTTTGGAAAATGTCAAGAAAATGCAACAAATTTGCCTGTCTATGGAAAGACAACAACAGTAGAGAGATTCAGGATGTCAATTTTTATGCTAAGAACGTGGGTTCGATTCCTAGAAGAATTAGTGCGAATTTTTAAACTTTTTGGGATGCTGAAAAAGACTTTATAAGAAGTACAGACTAGAAAAGAGGGCTGCAGCAATTAAGACCCCCGGCTCTACTCATTATAATCCCTTTTAAGTTCCACATCACACTATTATTCCTTTATACTGCCAAAATCTTCAATTACAACTTTAAATTCTATTCTTACTCCTTTAATAAAATCAATAAATCAC